ACCAATGGCACAATAAATTCCACCACTACCAGCTGACAGGATAACACAGACGAGGCCATTCGACACAGTTGGTATAGACTTTGCTGGACCGGTCAATGCTCGAGAGGAGAAAGGCAAAAAAAAGTTACAAAGTTTTATATTGTGATATTTACGTGTGCAGTAACAAGAGCCATACAACTGGAGTTGGTCAAGAGGATGTCATCAGAAGCGTTTATACAAGCATTCAGAAGATTCGTAGCTATAAGAGGATTGTGTACAACTGTTTACAGTGATAATGCAAGAGCATTCAAGAAGTCTGAGAAAGAGATGAACAAGATATTAAAGATGGAAGATGAAAGGGTTCAACAGTATACCAGTAACCTGAAAATAAAATGGAAGTTTATTGTAGAGTTAGCTCCATGGTGGGGAGGATTTTATGAAAGACTGATCAGAAGCTTTAAGACATCCATGGCAAAAACTATAGATGCTCGACTTTTGGATGAAGAAGAACTACGGACTGTGGTTGTTGAAGCAGAAGGAGTACTTAACAACCGGCCTCTCACTTATGTGTATGACGATCCTAACGAGCCACAACCCATCACACCGGCGGACGTTATAGGAGGCAGGCAAGCAATGAACAAGCAGGAAGAAAACAGACTCGGAGAATACAGTTTGCTGAATTACTGGAGTGCAAGGAAACGGGCAATGATAACATGGTGGACCAGATGGAAAAAGGAGTACCTGAGGGAGCTTAAGTGTGCCAGCAGAAAAACAGAGCGTCACACAAATGTACAGGAAGGAGATGTACTTCTGCTTGGAGAAGCGCGAAAAAGAACTCAGTGGAAACTCTGCAAGGTCGAAAAGATTTTCCCAGGCAAGGATGGACTAGTGAGAACATGCTTGCTTCGTACACCTGAAGGAAAATTAGTCAAGAGGCCAATTCAACTGTTGTATTCGCTCGAAGGTTGCTTCGGTTGAATCTGGCCGGCGGGAAGATGTAGAAAACAGATTGAAGATGGAGCTCGGAGGCGTGGAAAAAGAAGTAGCCAGGGGCACGCTCTGCATGTTTTTTTTTCTTCTGTTCTGTCAACAATAAACCGAAGACGTATCGGTTCTGCGGTCTCTCTGGTCCTTCTGGAACATCGCGTGTTTTCGGGAGCCTCTACTGCCGATCGGCGGCGTGTTCTGACCATGCTCAAAAAGTATTGTAGGGCCCCTTTAAGTAAAACCAACACTGTCCTTAACCGAAGCATACTAGTTGATATTACGCATCGCTCATGTAAGTAGAAACTGGCTGCTAATGTGTTTGATGAATGTACCATCGATTGGTTAATATACCATTGCGAGATATGTTTCATGGTGCACTTGTAAGTGAGGCCCTGCTCAAATGTGCGCTTCAACATGTGATTGTAGTTTTATACTGATCCCGCTACCACACAGTCAACAACGTGTTTGTGAACAAATAAGCACATCTTTAATATATACGTATAGATTCGTAAAAGGTGCAGATACGCCGCAGCATTATTTAGTCTTGCAGCGCTATTTTAAACACAAATCGCAGCACATACAATGATCAATAGTCATCCCCTGGTGAAATCTCAAAAGGATACACATTACAAACGCTATCTTAAGAGATCGTGCCCGCATCTATTCTGATTTTTGAAAGGTCGAGCTTATCTGAGCGGCAAAAATAAAAGCATTGGCCAGCAAAGCTGCAGTTCACACACTGACGACAGGTTTTGGGATATTCCTTTGCCGAGCAATGGGTGGCCTGTTCTTGCACTTCGGACAGAGCTACGGGTATGCACGAGTACCTGTCGCACCTGTTTAGAATGCTGTTGATTGATAGTGTGGTTTAACGTCCCAAAACCACCATAGTATTATGAGAGAAGCCGTAGTGGAGGGCTCCGAAAATTTTGATCACCTGGAGTTCTTTAACGTGCACCCAGATCTGAGCACACGGGCCTACAACATTTCCGCCTCCATCGGAAATGGAGCCGCCGCAGCCGGGATACAAACCCGCGACCTGCGGGTCAGCAACCGAGTACCTTAGCCACTAGACCACCACGGCGGGGCATTTATAGCATGCCGTTCAACACAAGTATCGCGCGGCACTCGTTTTTTTTTATGGCGCTCCGAAACAAATGGCAGAAAATGGGCAGCACCAACACATCACAGTGAAGTTCACAATGCTATGTTGCATCATCTCCATGTTCAAAACTCTCCATTTCGCACTATACTACATCTAAATCTTCTCTTACTGGAAGCAGAAGTGATTATTACAGTCAAACGGCTGCGCCGGCCCAAAATTCCGCATACAATGGATCCATATATCCGTCTAGTCGCAGGCTAAAACACTCGTCTGACGATGGCCTGAAGTCATGAAGTCTTCCAGAGGTGAAAATCCACTAATCAACAGCATCTAAATTACGCACGCCGTTATGGTACACGAATGTGCTAGCTTCTTATGGAATTGCGCCACTGCGAATTCGGAGCTGCTGTGAAATTACCCGTTTTCAAGCATGACGCAACAGCTCCCTGGAAGGTCGTCGCAAACGCCATCTTGTTTGTCCGCATCTAATGGGTTGTTTACTTGATCAATATCGTAGCGTGTGGTCGACCACGCTTGAGTGTGTTTGCATTATAACCGCGCGGTTGGAGGAGGAGGGCACCGATCAGGCTGGCTCGGTCTGATCACGTGACCTCGATCGCAGCATTCACTGACAGTTCCGTCGCTCACTATTAGAGCGCCTAGATGGAGCGAATTTTTGTGTGCATCAATGACACCGCCTGTAGGACTATGCCTAAAGGCAATTTTTTTCAAATTGATAAGTAATAGCTACGTTAGAACACGATCCTGTTTCATTTTTTCTTGCTATATTTGTCTTTGCATGCGCACTGCGACAAATTCGGCTGATACAAAAAGCGCCATGCCTTCGAGGAAAGCGCAGTACAGTCACAGCGAAAGAAGAGCGGCCTTTCAGAGGCTTTTCTAAACACTCATTGGGCAATAGCTGCAAGCAAACTTGCTGGGTGCCCACTATGACATTAATACTAATAATAATTTCTGGGTTACAGTAGGCCGGCGTTCGCTATGCTAATCTTCGTCATTTTTTTTTGAGGAGCGTGGTATCCGCTAAACACTTGCAAGGAATTTTGTGCTAATTGTTCATGTGGCTGACAACGATGAGGAAATATGCCTGAAGTGGGTACCTATACAGGTTATTGGGGAACAAGAACAAGCTTTCCTAGTGAGTCGAAGCATTGAACGACCCACTGGTTACGCTGTTCGCCTTGTGTGACGACTGGTTGTTCTTTTGCTGTTCTAAAACGCTTTGTTACTCACACTAAAGCGATTCCTTTCCCGACATCAAGCCTACCTAAGGCAAGATTGCGAACAAGTCCCAAGCACCGGCGTAGCTCAGTGGTAGAATACTGGGCTGGCACGCAGCGGACCAGAGCTGGCGCTCCACTGTGTCCTTTGTATACTAGGTTTTTTTTTTTATTTCTGTGATCGTGGTTACGGACACCGGCAGCGGCAGTGGCGGCGGACAAGTACGGCGCCACGCATGACCCGAGTTTCGAAATCAGCTTTCGCTGCAAGAAACTGTGGTCGCCAAGTGACTATAGATGTTCTGGCTCGCTGCAAGAAGTGAATTAAACGAACAGTGGTTACTGTGAATGATTTAATTGAAGGAGTTGTTTCTTTTTTCATCATAAGAAATCATTTCAATTGCTATTGATTAGTGAGATCGTTTAACACTTGCGTTATGCATATTCTTGACGTTAGTTGAGTGTTTTTATGCGAAACGTAACACGCCAATGCCCTTATCAACGAAGAAGACCCAGCTGAATCACCTTAGTCGATAAGCCCGAGTCTCTTCTCTCTAGGAAAGGAATCCAATGTTCTTTCCTGAGATGGCAGGGTAAAACAGAAAATTCTAGCACTTTGGATTAGTAGCGTATATGCTGTCTGGCTAGACGGTGCATGGCTGAATTTGAACCGACTGGTGCGAATGTTCCGACCGAACGTTCGCGCCACTCAATTCAAAATCAGTGTTTTAGACTAGATTCTACTGCTCTGCGACAATTTTCAGAGTGCCATGACGTCCATTGAGAATTGCAGCAGGAGAAAATCTTTTAGGAGTTGAACATTCAGCTGCTTCCGAGGCATTCCTAAAAACCATATGGAGCCGCATCAAGGTTCAAGAGCGAGCGTGCCCCGGGAGCACTTTGACCTGGAGCTCGGAACTCACAGTAAATTTTGAGAACGCCTGCATCACGTGCTCACCTTTGATAGGCTGAACCTTTGGGCACAGCGCCGGGGCACTGTAGAGTGCTCGAAAGCAACGAATCAACTTATCATACAGTTCTCAAGGGGATCACACTGTGAAAGCTCGTCCTATAGCCCTTCTGGATAGTTCTAAGGATACCAGTGACGCCAGCATGGTGAATTTGCAAAACGAGAAGTGGCAAAGATCGCGAGTTGCGATAACGGTACCGAGCTCCCTCCGTGATTCGTTGGCGTCACCCAGAAAGAGCTCTTTTGTTAAGAGCTTCCTTAGACAAAGTGAGAACACTTCGAACTTGTATAGAAGGACAGGATGACCATATAACAGTCTTTCGTTCAATCAGTTAAGCGGAGAAGTGAATAAAAAGTATCCGCAAGGCTGAGAACGTCCCGCCGTTATTGCAAGTCTGTCCTTGCCGAGCCACACACAAGGAAGCCCATCTTGCAAGTTGTTTTCCACGCGAACCCAGCCGCGCGTGACGAAGTGTTGCTCGCTCTTTCGTAGTACATGCGCAAGGAGATACGGACTGGGGCAGCTCCCGCACAAGACGGTACATTATTTGTGCTCGAAGGCATTATTCAAATGAGGTTCCACAGACCCCGCTCCGCTGTCACAAAATTGCCCATTCCGATTGCGCGTCTTCTCCATGATTCATGCCTCAGTCCCAATTGTAGGCAGGCTTGGTGACGTCGGACAGCTTGTTCGCAACGTCCGTGCGACAATTTATTTCACCGGCCACTCTGGCAGCCTGCGTAACAGTAACGCAACCGCGTCACAGAAGGACATTGACGTAAAGAAGGTAAGACAACTGGGGGAGCGACTGTCACCGCTGTTTGTAGTGATCCACCAATCTTTACGTCGTCAAGAGCAAACCTATAGCCGTCGCGAAGGTGTCTGCCACATTTTTTCTGTCTCTTTTCTTTTTGTCTCGTCCGACTAGTGACATCGGGATCAGCGAGTTTCCGGCTGGGCCGCATAAAAGCAGCTGGCCAGGTACACCAGCAACCCACACCGCCTTGGTTGTCCGACTTCAAAAGGGGAAGTTCCCCAGTTGTCTCACGCGCTGCCCCCTGGATAAGCTCTCTGCCCTGTTCGAAGGAACATGACGAACCAAGTTGTGGCCATCTTCGCGATACTCTGCTTCACCTCCGCCGCCGTGAGCGCTAACGGTAAGCACGTCACTGCTCGCTTATACGCAAATTAGGGTTAACGTGGAGATCGCGTACGAGTGGGGCTAAACTTTGCTAGTTAAAACTATATGTGAAGCGCTTGAAAAACAGGGACATAGTGAGGCGCAGAGAAAACCACAAAGATTTCCATACTAGCACAGGTGCGCGAAGGTGTCTCCTTCAGGAGGAGGGGGCGGGGCGAAAATTCTTCGTAGCGCCCCCCTCACTATTCAGCCAATAGGAATCTTCGATTTGGCTTGCACTAGTTCAGAAAAGTGCAGGTGCAGAAAAAGCGGTGCCAAGCGGTGCAGTGAGCGTGCAGCGCCGGTCGAGCAAGTGCAGGTGCAGCCTCAACCACGCCTCGGCACTAGCCGACACTAGCGCGCGACGGCTACAGCCAAAACGAAGGCGTGAGTTGACGTGAGTGCAGGCCGGAGAACACCTTGTAGTGTAAGCCTAAAATAGCCGCCTCCGCCGCCTTGTCCGATCAATACACGGCCGTGATGGCACTTCTTGTGACTGCGATGGAATTGCTGGACTCGAGCAGCGACGACGATTCCGTCAGCGGTGCCGTTTGCAGTGACTGCGACGATGAGTACGACGATGCGTGCATCTTGGTCGCGTGCGCGTTGGTGCGCGACGATGCCAACCGTGTACCCGGGTACGAAAGCATTATCGGCAGGTACCATGAGTATGAATTCAAGCGCCTCTTCAGGCTGTCCAGGGAGACTTTTGATAGTTTCAGGGCCAAGTTCAAGACTTCAGCCTTCTACCCAAGGGCAGTGCAAGGCCGCCAACAAATCAGTGCCGAAAAAACATGCCTCATAGCGCTTGTGTACCTAGGCTCACAAATATCTATGTACGCCATAGGCGACAAATTCGATGTTACCGAGTCGTCTGTTCATGTTTGTGTGACACGGGTCGTTCACTTCTTACACGCTATTAGCGATGAGATAATTTGCTGGCCTAGTAGCGCGGAAGTGACCCGCATAAAGAACGGCTTCCTCGCCAAAAGTAAAGGCAAGGGCCCAAGAAACACCATCGGCTGTATCGATGGATCACACATCGGGATACTCACTCCAAGCGAATCTACGCAGTCTTACTTCAACCGGAAAAAGTGGCCTTCGATAATCCTGCAAGGAATCTGCGACGACAGGAACAAGTTGCTGAACGTGTTTATTGGGTTTCCAGGTTCGGTTCACGACGCCCGTGTCCTGAGGGAGAGCCCCTTCTTTGCACGCGCAATTCAGGAATGTGAAGACAATTATATACTGGGTGACAGTGCATATCCACTGATGCCATGGCTCATGACCCCATTCAAGGACAATGGAAGTTCTTTTCCTACGTGGAAAAAGAGCTTCAATAAACGACACAGTCAACAACGAGTGCTTATTGAGAACACCTTCGGCCTGCTTAAACAGCGTTTTAGGAGGCTCTACCTTGTTGATGCAAAAGTGTGCAACAGTGCTGCTATATAGTTATGGCTGCGTGTGTGCTACACAACATGTGCAACGATGAAAGGGACTTCCTTGAGGAACTTGCAACGCTTCCCCAAGAAGAAGATGTGGGCAATGATGAAAGTGAAGGAGATTTTGATTGCAGTCTGCCAGGCTACAGTCAGTCTCTGCGAGAGTTCATTGCAAAGGAACAGTGCTAGAAGTTCATCTTTGCTTCGCGATTTATTCAGTGTGCAAATGTTTTGCGAAGTGGGGTGCCGCGTCTAGAAGCAATGTTTTTTTTTAACAAATTAGATGGAGTAGACACTGCTAGTGTTATAAAAGTTTATTGCCCATATTATAACCCGTCCTTATTTGAGAGTACGTCGATCAACCGATCGAATCGCTGCATGCGCTCATCATGCCGCTTTGCCTTTGCCTCTTCCCATTTTTTTCTTTCCTCCAGTTGTTTCACTGCTGCCTCCTCTTGCTTAGCTCTCGAAGCTTGCATTTTTCTAATGCCTCCAAGAGCGGCGTGACTTGGGACCTACTCTGGCGCTTCCTTTTTGGCGTTGTGCTGCTCCGAACTTTGGATGCTGTGTTGCACTCGACTGGGACTGCTGCATCTTGAGGTGCTTCAGTGATGCTGGTGCTGTTGAAAGTAATTGTACAGGTGCCATGTCATTTCCAGGCTACAGCACAAATTAAGTAATTTTTACTTACTCTGGACTTGCACTAGGCAGGATTGTTTTTCCAGGCTCCAAGAGCAGCCTTGGATTTACACTATGTTCTTTTTCCAAGACTTCTGCCAGCTCTCTGTAATAGACACTATGAGAATCACTGAAGATATGAAGACACAATCGTAACTTACTCTTCATATTCACAGTTCACACGGTGGTGACCTGAAGAATTGTTGTCTTTTTTGACTTTTTATATGCTCTGTCCAGCGACTTCCATTTGTTTTCCACTTGTGTGGCAGTCACGTTGCACAAGAACTCCGTATTGATGGCCTCAGCCAACTTCTTCCACAGAAGCCTTCTTGTGCTAAACAAAAAAGCAAAGCACAGTTAGTAGGAAAGAAGGAAGCGACGTAACGTGACCCAAGTCTTGCAGTAGCACATGAACCTTTCCTTAGTACTTCATATGTGTAGCTTTCAGGGATAATTGCTAGGGATGTTCGATTATTCGAAAATTTTGGATAATGAATCAAACAGCACTGTATTCGGTTCCTAAGTCGAATCGAATTGCACATATTCTAAGTAACAAATATTCTTTTAATAATCGGCACTGGCGGGAGAACCCCAAAACAACGAAACAGCTACAAGTCATTCTTTCAATCCCTAATGTGACCTGTACGCAGCCCAAGCTTTTGCAAGACTACCTACACTATATTGATTGTCGAATGAATGCGCTTCTGAAAGCTCCATTCTTGCTCAATTTTTACTGCACTTTAGCTGTATCGCATTTATCAGCTCCTGTCTTCGTCTTGTAATAACCAAAGGTGGGAACTACGAGTGCTTGCAGCTTCACGACTAGCAACAGATACAAGTTTTGCGTTTGCGTAAATTGTTCTTGCAGATGTAAATTTCAACGCCCATTGTTATCCGCTTTTAGTGCGCAGGCCATGTTGTGATGACGGGTTGATCTGCTCCGTTACATATTTAGTTGTATCTGCAATGTTTGGTTGTAAATTGTTTTGTTTTTGTGTCCCAATTTTATTTAAAGTGAGGTGACAAAGTCTCACGTTGATAACGCTAGTCAATGCCGTAGTTGAACCTACAATTACAAAATGTTACGAATATTCTAGTTCCTGCTGCATACGAGATTACCTTAGTTTTCGTAATTGTGGTATTTTGAGTAGATTCAAACTGACTGTAATGGCCTTTGTCGAAAGTTTGTGACTATTTGTTTCAAATAAATGTTCTGTTCTAAGGCTGTTTTGAAAATGGTCTACTTACTATTCAAACAGTATTCAATTACTATTTGTATTCTATTTGGTGCCATTACTATTTGACTCTTACTTGATTAGGTTCCGAAATTCACTATTCACACACTTCTGATAACTGCGAACGTTCTTTTTGTGCGGGAAGCATTATGTTGGAGAAGTTGAACATTGTGTAAATCACTCTTTTGGATCATAAAGCTTCACTAAGGAGACAGCCATATTCTAACCTGTCTTTGCATTGTAAAACATGCAGCTGCGCAACCTTGTTTGCTGACACGACGGCGCAGTCTAGGTTCAAAGATAGGGTAGCACGTGTCAAGAAGCATATCTCTTTTAACAATGAGCTGCACCATCTTGAAAAGTGGCAGTGCGAGAGAAATGCGGACAGACAGTGAAGACACAAGGACTGCAGGGCGAGACTTGCTAGAGATGTGCCTCAGAATAACAACATGCAATTCCCTCTAGTGCAAATTCTCAAGGCAGCACTACACTTGCAACATGGCTTGAGCTTGGAGGTGCTGCACCTTTTCGGCAAGACAGCGGTTGTGCAATGCCCAACACAAAAGCACCGTCGCTGTTTTTGAAGATCACTTGACTTAATGAAACATTACGAATGCCTTCGTTGTGTATATGTGCGTGACTATACATACTGTTTGTGTGTATATGTAAACGTATATGTCACAGTCAGGCGCATAGCCAAAATTTTTTTTCAGTGGGGGGGGGCAGTAAAATGTAAATTGCTGGCAGTAAAATGTAGGCAACAATAACCATCGCCATTGTGAACTTCATGCGCCCTTATCTTGTTGGTGCTTGCCTAGAGTGAAACGGAATAATAAAAAGCTGCAAATAATTTTGGACATAGGATGACATACCGAAGTGCCCTGGTTTTTCCCACCAAGTCCTTCATTTCCGAGTATTTGGCGATGAAGAACCTTGTTTTTCGGGCGCTCCAAAGCTCTTCCACATCTTCAGCCGACGCGGCTGCTGCTGGAAATGCGGCTAAAGCCCCATCGCTGTCAACGTCGCCGTCGCAGGCAGGAGAAGGCGTCGGCGGTTGTGCCGGAGGGGGGTCATTTTCACGATTCCCTGCCATGAACCGCAACGTAACGCGCTTGCCGTCTGCAAGGGCGAAAACCAAGATTAAAAATACCGACATAGCATAAGCAATGCTACGAGGCTGTTTGCTGACCGACTACGACTCCTGGCCGCTAACCACGTTTTTTGGCAATGCATGCAGCCTGACTTACCTGATGCCTCATAGACGTAACCGTTGGCGTCCGTCATAAATGACCCGTCGGGATTGTGAAGTGCCTTAACTTCCTTTTGAACGCCCTGAACAACTATTTGCAACGTCGTCTGCTCTGGCCTTGGGGGGACGCCCGCCATGCTGCACTACTCTGCACCTGCTTTGGAGTGCGTGCACGCCGGTACAGAACTCGTCAGGAACTAGGCTTACACCTAGACAAAACGAGGGAGCCAGTGCAGAGGGTGCGACAGAGGGCGCGCGCTGCTCCGGCAAAACGAGGACGAAGGTGCTGCACCCTTTGAACTGGTTCAGCCGGTGCAGCCAAAACGAAGAGACCAAATGTATATGGCAGATATTGCACCCTTTCATTGTTGCCTCCCACCCCCCGGACGCACGTCTATGCGTACAAAGGCGTAGCCAAGGGGGTCAGAGTTGGAGGTTCAAAACAATCCTCGAAAATTTTCTATTATACTTGCGTATACTGCATGCACACATACAAATGCACGCATGAACATAAATCATGGTTGAACCTCCTTCCGTCCGAAACAGTTTCTGGCTGCGCCCCTGTTTCCTTATGAGGTTGGTTTTCTGCGTGCCTCACGTTATTTTTGTTTTTTAAGTGTGTCAAAAATACACGGTACGCTTTTTTTTCAGGCCTCCTCGCATAACACGTGCGCACCTCGTGGTATCGTTGACGTACCCGTGCGGCTGTCGCAATATACTCTGGTTCGCTTTGACAGCGCTTGGTAAAGTGTTGTCAATGAATTAACGATATTATAAAGCCTTTAACGCATGTGCCTTTACGTGGTTAGTACGATCCGCATCGCTTTATAGATTTTAACAGAGGCCACCGGACTTCACGAGTGCTTGTGAACGAGCATCGTGAGCCCGGGCTGTGTAGACGACGCAAGCTGGTTACTTATCCATCTCCTTCTTACTCTTAGTTTTTCCCCTTTTCCCACCCCAAGTATAGTGTGGCCAACCGAGCCAAAGCTTGTTTAACCTCCCTGCCTTTTCTCTCCATTTCTCTCTGTCTCTCTCACTGAGACCCTAAAGTTGGTCAGTAGCAAATAGTTATAGAAACGAACAGATAGAGAGAGGATAAGCGTTTATTATAAGGAGGTGCAGCGTGCGCCTAAAGTGGGCAGCCTCCTTATTTCAGATAAATTTTTATTTCCAAGTGTGCATGCTCGCGAACGTGCAGCACCTACAGGGGGCGCAACAGTAAACAGCTGGGTAGATGGATGGATGGATATGGCTGTACCCTTTAGATCGGGCGGTGGCTAGCGCCACCAAGCCGTAATACCTAATGAACCAAAAGCTATATTTATTTTTTTCCTTAAAAAGTGAGTTTAAGGATTCGTACTTTGCAGTGAAGAGTTTAATTTTCACTCGTGCCTTGACTTTAGCCACCGATCAGATAACATCCTTCTAGTTAAGTCTACCCGCTTAAAGTTTATTTTGCCCTCCCGGTCCCTAAACCCCAGTGCTTTGAAAAACTCTGCGCCATCATCCTGAACTACAGGGTGAAGCCCTTTACAGAACATTATCCAGTGTTCGGCAGTTTCTTCTTCCTCTCCACACGCACAGCATACTGTGTCTACCCCTTCGTATTTGGCCCGATATGTCATGGTTCGCAGTACTCCCGTCCTGGCCTCAAACAGTAGAGAACTACCCCGAGTATTATCATAGATCCTTTCCTTGGCAATTTCCTGCTTAAAAGTTTCCTGCTTAAAAATTTCCTGCTTAAAAGCTCTAATGCGTCGCCAGCGCCACGAGTGGAGACTTGCGGTCACTTCAGTTTCAACTCGCGTGCTACGAATCATCGTGTCTCTCGCCAGCGTTGTATGCGTGCGTGTGCGCGAAGGTGACAAGTTTGATAAAATGGGTATAGGCTTTCAGAAACCTAACAGTACATAGTTCTTTTGAGGCCTCAAACGATGAGAAAGAATTTATACTTACAGAATCAGTCATGTTTCCTATGTGACGTGAAGCACAGACGCGCAGCGGTGTGTTTTAGAAGGTCAGTTCGTGTGGTTGGCTAGCGCAGAGCACGAAGCATAGGCCATCACCATCGATGTTTGCAAACATTTTTCTCAACATTTTGCCTGCTTACTGTTGAGTAAACGATGACATTTGTGTTTGACGTGTTATAGACAACCCTTTGCGATGCGTTCAAGTAAAACGTATGGCTGCCGAACTGCGCGTACGTGTTGCATTTAGTAATTGGTGACATTTTCGTGAAGTTTTCTGTGCAGTAGTTCAGCTACGTTTGCTGGAACTGGTCGGGCTGCATGAGTCCTTGAATTACGTTGTCGCATGCCAGCTGTGCACGTGCTATCTCAGCTGTCACGTAGCGCGGCATCGCACGTGCAGTGCTGTTAAGCCCAAACTCCATAAGCGCGAAAATGCACGCGACAGCGACGAGCGACGCGACGTAGATCGGCGTCGCGCGATCAGTCGCTAGCGCAGGCAAACCTCATTCACGCGACGGCTTCGGCGAGCGAATTCCACTGTTGCTGGCATGAGGCCGTCAACTCGCACCAAGAAAACCGCGTAGCGAGCGGTTTCCAATTAAAAAATAAAATATATTGTTGTGTAATGGAACGGAAAGTGTTTATTATTGCCTTGCAGCATTTTTTATATGCGCATGCGTAATAAACATTGCGTTATTTCTTGTTGCGCATACGTGATTCGGGCAAGGTCACGTGCACCTATGTAGTCTTCGTCTTTTCCGGTTTTTCGCTATTGGCTGCTTGAGCCCAGCACTTCCGGGCGATGAGCGACAGTTTCCAAGTCTGGAGAACCGAGCGATCGCGCGAAAACGAGCACGCGACACGTCGCGCGAACGCCCTGTTTCGTCGCTCATAGCGTCGCTCGTCGCTGTCGCGTGCATTTTCGCGCTTATGGAGTTTGGGCTTTAAGGACTACGGCATCACACGGGGAATAAAGTATAAAATTTTTGTGGTCCAGCCTCATCTTGTCAGAATCGCACAACTTCTTTTTTTTTTGTTTTCTTAGTGCTACTGCTTACTAACTGTGCCGTTAAACAAATTGCGATACGGAGGAAAAAAAACGCAGCGGCTGCGTACGAGGGAAAATTTCCAGATCTGTCAGCGGCTTTCCGCTAACGAATTGTGGACTGCGGACTCGAGATCAATTTGCCAGCAGCCTCTCGGTTCCCTCAGAACTGTAAAAAATGTCACTTGACTTGCGTGGAGAACAGATTCACGGCAAACTAGATAAAGCGTGTACCTGATAAACGCGCTCGCAGGATTACTCGCTTCACGCGGCGTACACTAATCCAGTCTTACGCGGCGTACTAATCCAGTGCACTAATCCCGCCGGTTTCTGAAGCGTGCATAATCACGTTGGAAAACTGAAGAAAAAAAACTCTTTTGGGTGAGCATTTATTATCGTTATTGCCAGAGTTTATGACAATAATTCGTACGCGACATTGCGAAGCATCGCTAACCACCTGACATGGATTATGGATGGCTCATGGATTGGCTGCTGTACGAATCGCGCCAATTCCTCCCGTTCACTCCCGCACCGCGGCGCTACCGGCTCAGTGCACGTAAGGTGCTTGACTGGTTTCCCTCGCCCGGAGAGGGCGAGAGGAAAGCACTCAGGCACCCTAAGTGCACGTTTCCCATACTTTATCTGAGAGAAAGTACTGGCGTTTCGGACGCACACCAGCTAGTGAGATTTCCGTACAGAAGCGAAGAACGGGCGTACCACGAGTCTATGGGTGTACTTTACGCTTTTCCGCAGATACTGACCGGCGACTGCTTCCCCGTTTTTCAGACGCAACGTATCTTATGGTCGAGCTCAATCCGGTGAGCCGCGTGACCACCCTTGACGCGCATGCGCGTCCCCTCCTTTTCTTTCTCCTCTCCTACGTTCCACCTCTCTCTTCCCTCCCATCGCTGACGCAGACAGTGTCTTCTTGCGAGTTTCTTCATGTAAAAAAAAAAAAAGGAAGACTGCTCGCGATGCACAACCGTTCACTGGCCACTACGTAATATAGGCACTGGATCTTGACATCCAAGCTAGGAGCTGGAAGAAGATTTCTCTTGTGCGTTGCTGAGCAATAAAATTCGCAGCGTGCGCGTTAACTAAAAGCGGACTGCGGGTCTGTGGGTCCTATCGGAGTCTTCTGTCTCAATTTGCCAAATAGCAGCGATTGACATGTTCCAGTAGCAAACACCGGTCCATAAGCGCCATCACGGCGTGCTCTGCGCCTCCCCAGGTCCCTCTCCTGCACAAAGCCGCGATGAGTGCCGCCGTCAGTGTAATCGTCAGCGCCCGCTGGTTCGCATCTACGCATGGTTACTTTTAGTGGGATATAGTGTAACTTTTGTTTTTGCGTCTATGCCTATTCTAGAACCTGCGTCGAATGCTACCAATTGCTAGAAATGTATGCCATTGTGCAATCTTTTTCAAATGCTGCAGCTGATTTGGACCGCGTCGTCGAGCAACTGAAGTCTTTGGTGCGAGATTTTGTGACTGAGGAGGACAAGGCACAGGAGTACCTGAGCAAGATTGACAGTGGGAGCCAATGCCTCTCCGTCGCCAAGGACATGAACCCGGAAATCGTCAAGCAGGTTGGTACAGTGGGCCCCGTAGCAGCTTTTCCCACTTAGTAGTAAGGTGTTGCATGAGATCGAGAGAACTCTTTATTGAAATGCAGAGAATTAAGCCAGCATATAAAATTCGCTGACTTGCTACTCTCCGTGGGGAAGGGGATTGAGGAGAGAACCTACGAATAGGAAAAGAGAGAGAGAAAAAAAAGACAAAATGTAAATATAGATGATAGAGTAAAAAAATATAGGAAAAGGCCACCTCTTTCACCATTGAATGAGGACGCGCGATAATAGTTTTCTTGTGGTGTCAAGCTACAGTTACAGCTTGTCTAGCTGACCAATGCTGTCCAAGTATGCAAACAAAAGTATCATAGCACGCCTCTGTAAAGTCGGGCAGGCTAAAGGTCCCACTACACAGTCAAGGGAGAAAGTTCCCTCGGTTATAGAATGCATGCAACGTTCATAAAGCGCACGCTCATCAGCATACTACACTCAAACAATATATGTTCCACAGTTTCGATGGAGCCACAGTTGTTGCAATACGGACTCGCTGACTGACCGAAGCGGTACCGTAGGCTGTTAACATAGGCACTGTTTAGACGTAGACGATGGTATAGCGTTTCCAGATGGCGAGGAATTTTGAATGAAAGTCTTGTTCTCAGATAGGGGTCGACTGAGTGAAGGAAAGCATAATGATGTGTCGGAAGGTTCCAGCGTCTCTTATATTCTTCGATCGCAAGTCTTTTGGCCATCTGAGCTGCATCTAATTTAGTGAAATAAGTTCTTCTGTAATTGTGGTGTCGAAGACCTTTGCGTGCTGCTTCATCTGCTTTTTCGTTGGCGGAAATGCCCCAATGTGCCCGTATCCACTGAAATGTAATAGAGTTCCCTGCGGTAACAGCCACATGATGTAGGTATGCTATGTCGAATGAAACGGGGTGAGAATTCGTTTTCTTTAAAGGTTGAACAATATGTGTAGTGCTCCTTTGGAGTCGGTGAAAATGAGAGTTACAATAAAGTAGACTGCATGTGGACTTTTCCTGCTCGCATTCAAATCTATCTATCTATCTATCTATCTATCTATCTATCTATCTATCTATCTATCTATCTATCTATCTATCTATCTATCTATCTATCTATCTATCTATCTATCTATCTATCTATCTATCTATCTATCTATCTATCTATCTATCTATCTATCTATCTATCTATCTATCTATCTATCTATCTATCTATCTATCTATCTATCTATCTATCTATCTATCTATCTATCTATCTATCTATCTATCTATCTATCTATTTTTCTGTGATTTAATCTCATCCCTGACGCTGCTACGTGTTTTGCTGAAGATTGTGTGAGTGACCTGGCCATGACTTCACTTGTACCCAGATCGCCAAGGTAGCCATGCCCACAATCATGGAGTGCGGAAGCCAATTTATCAGGATAAGGGAACCTCAGGAAAGGGCCGATAAGGTAAGCTCAAGGCCAGCAGCAGGCATTTCTTTTTAACCCAACGGACGCGCTCTTCACTGTAGAAACGCGCTAAGGCCTGTGCACATGCCCGCGTTGCAGCCCGTCACCGTCTGACGCGGTGCCGTGCCTTCTCTCAATGGAGAGAAAGAGGGCACGTAAGGCCTGCGCCCTCTCCCTCAATTGGGAGGAGGCGCCGCGTCACAGCGCCACACGCTGCAACGCTTACATGTGGTCAGACCTTTACTTGCGGAAGGGCACGCTCCTCCCACCACAACCTAAACGCTGGTTCATAATCTCGTGGGCGCATGTGAAACGCAGAAGTTGCAATAGCGCCTTGTGGCATCGTCATCAGATCAGTTTACCAGCGATATAATAATAATAATAATTCAAAGAGGTCTTTAAACCCCGAAAACCCGGTTATGATGCACACCATAAGCGTGAGGCAGATCATTAATTTTGACCCCACTGAAGAACTTTAACCTACTTCTAAGCCAACGGTGCATGGAGGCTATTTTCATTTTATCCGTATCAACCACCGTGGCGGAGAACAGAACCCATGACGGATCGGGTTCGACGGCTCGCGCGTCTCCAGAAGCAGTTCGGTTGCTTAACTTTGGCGTGTGAACTGAATGAGCTATTAAATCCGTACATTGATTGATTTGTACGTGGGATTTAACGTCCCGAAATTACCATACGATTGTGGGAGACGCCGCATAAAGTGAAAGACAAGAACGCTGATTGAAAAAACAAACAAAAACTGATGCTGATTCGAAACCAAGAAAAGCCGCCTGGGAAGTTTTTTATTGAAATTGGAATAAAATAAAAGAGTTGTTGAATGTTATAATGCTAGTAACGTTAGATCGATAGTACAACTTGTTATTCAGATTGATTAAAACCATAAAAAGCTACAGCATGAAGATGACGCAAAGTTCGCTCGGAAATGGTTACTTTTGCAGACTACTATAAATTTCTTGCTTTTCTGCGTGGCATTTGTCTAATCCTAGTTTTTGAATGTTTCGATTAGGACTGAGGAAAGAGATCTACGCAAAATAAGAAAAGCCTTAAAACTAACCGTATGCATTACATTTTCAACGCACGCGTCGGACTTTCATTGATTTCGTCAATCGATGTACTTTTTGAACGTTTATTTCGAATAAAGTATGGAGTTACTTAGCTTGATGAAAGTTTGCACTCTTTTCTACTGCCACTGAAAACAGAATGGACTAACTTCGAGTACTTTAATATTTCAGATCAAGGACTGCTTAGTAGAAAAGGCGAACAACTTCAAGGTGAGCTCGCTTCAAGTTAGGAGCACGGTTTGTCACCAAGTGTTTGACGAATGTGATTAGTAATTGCAACTTGCAGTACGACCAGCCTTGTGCTGTTTTCCGGTGGAAAGCAGCAAGAAACGTCCATGTTTTCATTATTACGCTTTCTTATAAAAAAAAAGGTGGCGTTGACTGCGTCAGGGCTCTACAGCCACGAGGCAATCGCAAGGCTGGCTCTGTTCAAATATATATATATATATATATATATATATATATATATATATATATATATATATATATATATATATATATATATATATATATATATATATATATATATATATATATTGCCGTCTCGCTGCAATGTGCAGCAATTATCACGATCGCAATAAAGTGGACTTTAGTAAGGAATAAAGCCAGCCATTCATTTTTATAGCGCTTGACCAGGTATAACTCGGGAAAACGCTTGCGTTAGAAAATGCGGCCACAGTATTGCGACCAAAGCTACATATATATCTTCGCGCTGCCCATGACTTCATCGCATACTTTACCATGAGACGACGACATGTGCACAGGTGTGATCCTTCTGCTAATCGCTGCAAAGACAGGACACGCGCGACCGCGCCCTGCTGATTTAGGTGCACAGAGTGTGCTAGTTTTAACAACATAATTAAGATTTGAGACGTGACACTAATAAAAAAAACACACCAGCCGAGATAAAAACATATCAATGCTATAAGTAATAAAGAACAGAAAGTTGCCCTGAAATTCTTGCACGGGCACATTCTTACAAAAGTACGCTGGTCATCGAATATTTATCTCTGAATTTAACCGCGCATGGTAAACGGAGTGATCGGGAACGGAGTGATTTAGCAACACTCGCGCGCCTAGAGAAAGTCCATCTTGTGAGTTTTGAATACTCCTGCGTAAGAAGCTGCTTCTTGCTTGTGTTGGACAGTACGCGGGGCATGAGAAGTTGCAGTGTAATAAATACAGCCCTAACGGCATCTTATCGCATTGCAGCAATCCAGTGGAATGACGCCCGAGGAAATGAAGATGTTCGATGACGCTTCGGTGAGTTGTACGCCTGTAATTCGCCCCTGCATCGCTTTCGATAGTCACAACAGTAATCGTAATGAGCTTCCTTACGCCGATGGAGTGACTATATGTTTGTTATTGCTCGAAGAAACGCAAGTTTTTACTAAATGCGTCCCCCCCCCCCCCCTCTGGACAACGTTTCATGAGCTAATCAGGCGGCAATAGTGGCTACGTGGTACGTTTTCATGCTTATGACGCGCTTCAAGGTAAAACACGGACCAGAAAAAACTAAAAACAACACAGCGTGACGCGCGATGAGGTTCTATTAAGAAGGCTTGCTGAGGTTCCACAGAAATATAGCATTCCGATAAAGTTTGTACGACGTTTGTAGGAGTTATAGCTATGTTTGTAGGAGTTTGTAGCACGTTGTATATGAGGTAAAAGATAATAATAACTGTAGGGGTTTAACGTCCTTACACCACCATATTATTATGAGAGACGCCGTAGTGGAGGTCTCCGGAAATTTCGACCACCTAGGGTGCTTTAACGTGCGCCCAAATCTAAGCACACGGGCCTCAATGATTTTCGCCTCGTAAATTTGGTCACCGCGGCTGGAATTCGAACCCGCGACCTTCGGTCAGCAGCCGAGTGCCTCAGCCACTAGACCACCGTGACGAGTAGAGTTAAAAGACACTTCATAAAATAGACCCCCATTCGAAACGAGATGTGCGTTTTTGTATAAATATCAGGGGTAGGGCAATAATTTTTGTTTTCCGGCACAGGGGTGGGTGAGGTGGAAAGAATGGTTCGACCACTCTTTAAATGCTCGTGCAGTGAGTGTTCGGATGTGTGCGAGCTTATACACACACAAAAAGTTTCGAAATTTTTGGTGAAAACTACCCTTTCCCCTCCTCCCCCCATTCTATTTTCCTTATACGGCAGGGGTGGATACTGAGAACTAAAAAAAAAAGACTATTATTGACGCTTCTGTCTCACCGAAATATTTCCTTTATTATTTTTCAGGCATGCATCCAAGAGCAAGCCAAGGGAGTAGTTTAGCCTGTATTGTCATTAACGATAGTCGATAAACCGCTGCGTGCTGTACCGGGCGCCATGACGCCTCAACCAGCCTTCCTGATTGCAGAACAAAATAAAATGTTGAAGAAAATGAATGAATTGGCACGCTCATTTTCTGCTCCCGAGGATATGCCGACGCAGCTATATACAGTGCTTGCTTTGGCATGTTGATGAGATATACTGGAGGGAAACAGCGCAAAAGATCAGGCAATGAAGGATACATACAAGAGTGCCGACTTGCAACAGAAGTGTATTCATCAAACCACGATTTACATACCTGCGCAGTTGAAACGAAAAGAAGAAACGAAAGTGACAGTCAAAAGTAAATGAAAAATCAACACCATTAAAAAAATTCCGCCATATCCACGAAGTGAATGATGATGAGTGGGCGAAGCTCCGGAGGTAAACCTGGTAAACCATGAATCCGCTGTACATTTTGCCCACTCGATTTTATTACATCGCTCCCCCTAGCGTACGTCGCCGCACTAAATCGAACGATTGCCTTCAACCAATGACACGCGCCATATGTGACATCATTCCTATTTTATAAGATCTCGCGTCTTTCATCAACTACAAGTACCGCTTTCTAGTTTATAACATCTTGCATCTTTTCATCATCAGCTACAAGTACCACCATCTAGTAAACACTACAAGAACTAAACGAGAGGTGGCTACATACAGGGGACGGTACCGCCATCTAGTGAACACTGCAAGAACTAAACTAGAGGTGGCTACATACAGGCTACAGGGGACGCACAGCCCACGCCCTAAGGAGCTTCGCCCCTAAAAACCATGCTGACGCAGGACATGCATTAAAAACCATGCAGCTGGCACAAAGGCTTCGTTACTATAACACACCATACTTCGCTCAACGCCTTACCGAATTAGCCGCCCGAAAATGAGTGCTTCAGGTGAAAAGCATGGAAGGCCGTTTCTATCTTGCGCGATGTGCGTGTTCTGGGAAATCCCCCTCACACGTAACAAAGTTTATATCTGCCAGACCGGATGCTGTGTTAATGACATGGCAAGAGAGCACGATCTTTAGATTACAAACAAAATTGGCGTCCATTGACCTATGCACTGGAAATATTACATGCGTGGGCAGGACCTTACAAATGTTCGCATATTTGGAAGGAGCAAGAACACTGTGGCACGTTATCTTTTAAAGGCGCATTTTATCAATGCGAAACGAGATATCTGCATCAGTGACACATCTGTCACACTGAGTGAAGCAGAAGCGCAATCTTTCGATATCGCTATTTCATAAGCGTGGCACTGTTCGCCATTGTCCTGCGCAACTGTAAATGCGCACATGTCTGCATGTATATACCCCCCCCCCCCCACTTTCCTCGAGCATTTTTTAAAATAAATTCAGTAGCAAGTTGTCCCCCTCTCTTTTCGTCTACGTTGGTTGCGTCGTGAACCGTCTTTGTAATAATAAGTGTTGTACTTCGACGTCCCAGAACCACAACTGGATTGTGAGGGACACCGTGGATTGTAGTGTTACGGAAATTTCGACCAAATGGGCTTCGTTAGCGTTCACTTAGGGCGGCACTCCATCGAAAGTGCGGCCACCGCGGCAGGGCATTCGATCCCGCGACCTTTTATATGAATAGTCGAGCAGCGTAACCATCGAGACCACCGCGGCGAGTCTACAGCCACCTGTCGACGTTGAACGCCTAAAACTGCCACCGCCTTCACTGCGCCCAGACACCAACCTGCAAGGCGTGCTCTCAGAAGCTTCGTGGGGGCTTTCTGACATACGCAGGCTTCGTTTACGAGATGCGGAGTGTTCATCGCTTTACGCTGTGCGGACTTCACCGGACGTCTAGCGTACAGATCACTAGCTCGGTGCGCTATCTGCTCCTTGTAATCTGTGAGAACTGACAGCGACGAAGATGCAAGTCACCTGCAGGCATGGTCGCAGAGGAGCTGCATCGACTCGCGACAGTTCTGCGCGGGACCCGTCCCATAATCAACTCGGAGTTTTCGGAATGCTTCGCCCGGCTGCCATTTCCAAGGCATTCATGTAAGTGTCATCACAACGCATGCATAGGACGCTTACGCAGTTAACCGCGGAGCCGAACCGCGAGATTGAAGTAACTAGAAGAACAAGAATGGGGTGGAGCACATTCGGCAAGCATTCTTAAATCGTGAATGGTAGATTGTCACTATACCTCAAGAAGAAGGTATACAACAGCTGCACTTTACCGATCCTTAGCTACGGAGCAGAAACCGAGCAGATTGCAAGGGGGGTTCAACTCGAGTTCAGGACGGCGCAGCGAACAATGAAACGGAAAATGATAGGTGTAACCCTAGAAACAAAATAGAGCGGAGTAAGTCAGGGAGTATATCGGGGTTAAGAATATCATAGTTCAAATCGAGAAGAAGAAAGGGACATTGGCCGGGCACGTAGTGCGTAGGCAAAATAACTGTTGGTGAGTGAGAGTAACTGACTGGATTACCATAGAAGGCAAACGCACGTAGGGGAGACAGAAAGTTAGGTGGGCCGCGGAGACGAAAAAGTTCGCAGGCATATACGTGGCAGCTTCTAGAAAGCACAAGACTAGGTTGCTTGGCGGTCATAAGAGGGGGCTTTGTCCTGCAGTGGGCTGTACTAAGGCTAATGATGATGATGATTATGATTGACGAGAAGAAAGAATTCGTGTTACACTTCATGGCCTTACGAAAAATGTTTCTAGGTCCATTGTTTTTTGTACCCGACAGCTGTATTCTGTTCACCGTCTGGTTAAAAATATGGCAAGAAACATGTTGAACTATTCGCAAAATCCTTTGCCCTTCAAAGCTGGACTGGTTCGAAGATTATTCAAGATTGAGTACATGTACATAATACAGACACTTTTGCACATAAAAATGTCCCATAGCATAGACATTGTAGGAGACCTTCTTATAATGTTAAAAAAGGCAAACACTACTTAAGAACAAACTAACCAGAGTACAAAGTAAAAATCAATATGAAAAGCAAAGTAATGCATGTTAATAACATAAAACAATAGATATAAGAAACTGTAGCAGAATAAAAAGCAAACACTGATAAGGACAATGAAATTGAAGTATATATTGTTTGCTGAACATTCAATAAATGGTGTTATTGGTGAAACATGAAATTGTGACGCTGACGTTTGATTGACGATACAAAAAAAGCACACTTATTCTAATACGACAAAAAAGTTCAAAGTTTAATTAGAACAAAAGCTAGTTTCTATATAATGTTCGTTGAACATTCTATAAATGGCGTTATTGGTGAAACATGGAATTGTGACGCTGAAGTTTGATCGACAATACAAAAAATAAACATGTTATACGACAAAAAAGTTCAAAGTTTAATTAGCACAAAAGCTAGTTTTTAAGAACTATAGTTATTTCAGACCTTAGACCAAAGTAAGAAGCTGTTATTTGAGGTATAGCGGGTAACGTTGGAATAAGCGAGGTTTTGATTGAGAAGTTGTTTCGGAAGGCTATGGTGTTTACCTACTCGACAAGCAAATATGCACAGATTAAATTTGCTCAGACTGTCAATATTCAGCATGTTTAATTCACGGTATAGATCGGTAACATGAAAACATTGGCATTCTCTAGGTGATAATGCGAATTGTTCGATTTTGAGCATGTTGAAGGGGAAAAAAAGATGTCAATGATATGTTTGAACCTATGAATCGATGCGATAATCAGGATGACTGTGAATGAATGCATACGATAAGGTGACCAAAGTGGTGAAGTCAAAATAACATCTAGCTTTTAGTCATACGCTTATACCGTAAGGTGTTATTAGCAGCAGCTCTTCAGTATGTAAGTAAAATTTTAACAGGGAATCGAGCTTAATTCTGAGGAAAGAACAATGATCTGATTGGTGGGCGAGATGTGTGAGTTAATGAAAAGTGGTGCGACTTAAGTGTTATTTATTGACCTTAAATTAAAGACTGAGAACTCAGTTTTGGAGGGATTTGGCAAACCGTTATTTTTATCACCATGCACTAAGGTGAAGAAGTTCAGCATCAGGGGCTGTTATGGGATTGCTTACTGAATTACTTGGACATAAGAGCCGCATCGTCAGCACATAAGATACATTCAGTATATGTGGTTAGACACTGCGGAAGGTCGTTAATATAGAGTAGAAATAAAAGCAGTCTCGCAGCTGAGTGCATCCCAAAACTCTATATCGTGATTTCATTTACATTGAGCATAAATAAAAAAAACACATCAAGAATGCTTCAAAAGCAAGTTGTTCTCAAGGGGTTGAACTATTCTCTTGCATGTACATTAGCAATACTGATGGTTGAGCAGTCTACACAGTCATTGAAGAGCTCTAATACATTTGTATGTGATCAAATCAACAGCTAGTTCAGCCTAAATTTACGCGTAGAATCACAAGATACTTGTATTTCTCATTTTTGCGCTTTCTATTAAGCATGTGTCAACATTGTGATCACAGTTACTAAACCATCCAGTTAAGCCAGCTCGACATGCAAAACTGTTCTTTTCAAAGAAGGAGGGGTCCTGGTAAAAAGAAATGCAGGCTTTTTCAAGAAAGAGGGTCGCATATCACAAGTAATTGAAACCTGAGATGTCACAATACGTTTAGAGGCACAATCATCGCGACGTTGATTAAAAGGGTGATGAAAAATCCAATGCACCAAACGAATCGTCTTTAGCCGTATGCTTCTACCGCATAGCACAGTTAGTTCAGTTAGAAAAACACAAAGCGGCAAGGTTGCAACACATTACGCAGGTGCCGAAACCCATCGATAAAAGAATATCTACATACGGCGGGGAGACAAGTGGCGCAGCACTAAATGTTACTTCCCGCCGATTAAGCACGTGACTGTCACACGCAACAAGGTTTGCCATTATTTCCAGCAGAAACATGATTACCTGTTACAAATGTTTTAACAATAACGCACATCGCTGCACCCCACTCAGGTGAACACAAATCAAGTACAGCAATGTCTTTTAAATTAATTCCTTGATTCAAAAACTTAGGGCAGGTAATAACCACAGAGTCGAACCACGAGATCGAAGTAACTAGAAGAATAAGAATGTGGTGGAGACATTCGGCAAGCAATCTCAAGTTATGACAGGTAGATTGCCACTATCCCTCAAGAGGAAGGTATATAACAGCTGTATTTTGCCAGTACTTAGCAACGGGGCAGAAACCTGGAGACTTGCAAAGAGGGTTCAGCTTAAATTGAGGACGACGCAGTCAGCAATGGAAAGAAAAATGCTAGGTGTAACCTTAAGAGAGAAGAAGAGAGCAGAGTGGATTAGGGGACAAACGGGGATTAAGGATATCATAGTTGAAATAAAGAAGAATAAATGGACATGGGCCGGGCATGTAGCGCGTAGTCAGGATAACCGCTGGTCATTAAGGGTAACAAACTGGATTCCCAGAGAAGGGAAGTGGGTTAGGGGGAGACAGAAGGTTAGGAGGGCAGATGAGATTAAGAAGCTTGCGGGTATAAATTGGCAGCAGCAAGCTCAGGACCAGGTTAACTGGCGGAACATGGGAGAGCCCTTTGTCCTGCAGTGGACGTAGTCAGGCTGATGATGATGATGATTCGAAAAAAGTCATTTCACATATGTAGTCTTAGAGCTCTATGTTCCACAGCTGCGAAACAACAAAGCTTGCCGCGACTGAACCACAGCCAGACAATTGTGCACGGTACATACTCAATATTGTTTGAATATGTATATTGGTGACCAATAATATTAATCAACGTGTTCTATTGTCGTTATGGAATGTTGAAATAACGGGAGTCGATAAGGTTAGATGAACGTGTTGACACAGTACACGAAGTCGTTACCATAACCAATCTTCCTGGCGAAATATGCTTCGCGTTACAGGCCACATCCGTTTGCTCTCAACTATGTGAGCAAAAGAATGCCGCGTTTTTCAGATGGCACTCTCACTACTGAAATTCCACATTGGCGTACAGGTTTTTGTTGTCGATGAAACCGTTTAGGTCGATGGTCATCCACGATACTTTCTCTGTACAGCTGCCCATGTTGGGCGTTCCGGACGTCGGCTTCTTGACCGCACCGTAGTCTTCCATGCGCATTGGCAGCCTGACGTCTGCTTTTGGAAACCGGGGATGAGTGAGTACCACTGTTACCTTCTTCACGAAAGGCCACTCCAGGAGGCTGTCCCACGGGCCGCTGCAAATGCTCAGCACAAACCACAGATGCACTTCGTCTCTCTGGTCTTTGGCAAGCTTACATTCTAGCTTGAAACTGTAGCCAGCGAGAACGCAAACTTCCAAGGGGATAGCGACTTCATAGGTGGTACTCTTGGCTTTGTCGTGCATGACAGGCACGTCCGCGAAGGTGCGCAGTATGATGAATGCATCGGGTTTGGACGCAGCGCGGAACGGTCCGCTAGATATCGGCACTAGCCCCGCCGCTTGGATCGCGCAGACATCACGGGCCGTGTTGGCTCGCTGCAACGCATGCTCGAGGCTTGCAACGCGTTCCAGTAGGCAGTTGGCAACGTTTACAACGTTGTGCTTGTCGAGCTTCTCTTCCGCTTCTCCACGCAGTCGTAGTTTTTCCAGGTCCGCTCTTATCTCCCCGAGCCCGCTGACGATGCTCTTGACGCCTTCCTCGCTGACCACTCGTCCAGAGACGATGCTTCTGTCACAGTGTTGGTAGTGCTGCACGGCGACGCCTCGAACCAGAGTCTGGCTACATCTGCAGCACTTGACCTCGTCTTGGCTGCAGTGGGCCAAGTGACATTCCAGATCCGACAGTTTTCCGGCGAAGCTGCAATGTTCGCCACCTGCGATGCAACGAACGTGGAGCTGCTCCAAGTCGGACTGCCTGAAGCTCAGTGAAACGACTTGGGTATTCGCGAAAACGCGGCCGTCTAAGGGGCACTTCACCTCCTTGACGGTCAGGCCTTTGCAGATGAGACACAGGACGTGACCACAGGGCAGCAACGCAGATTGGGAAGGCACCAGGCCGCACGAGCTACAGACTCGAGTTGCTGGCAGCGGCTCGATGAAGGCGACGCGTCGGCGCTCCAAGAAGCCATCGAATCCCGTTAGCACGTACTCCGCGAACGGCATTTTTTCTTCGGGCTCGCTAAGCGCAAGCACGTTATCTCTGACAGCTTTCGAAGAACGCAGCGAACAGTGCTCTGCTGATGGCGGTCCGCTAGACGTCGAGACGCGTTGTAACACCACATACACGTACCAGTTCAGAGAACGAAAACTGTACCTTTGGGCTGTTGCAACGCCTCCTAGATTTCTCGTGCCTGCCGGAATATCGGCGGTCACTTGGGAAGAGGTGGTCGTCGGAACTATGGTGGTGGCGCCACTCAAGTAGGGCTGTCTTCAAAAAGATTTTAACCTTTTCGAAGCTTACCTGCAACAAATATAACGTAAAAATTTAAAAAAAACGTAAAGTATTATAAACAACCTTACGTAAGTGACGCAGTCATTCAACAAACAACTTTTTTAATACAAGGCATCCTCTGAAATTAGTAGCAAACGCCAAAATTGCCAATTTCAAAAGCCAAGTACGAAGACTTTTACTCCTACGTAGGCAGCGCTGTCTTAGATGACCGGCGTTTCGTGCTAATCCGGTAGGCACAAGAAATCTAGGAGGCCTTGGCTGTTGTATCAAAATAACACGCAAATACGTAGCGGCGGCGTACTAAACTGCAATACTGCGAGGCGAGACGGCGCTGGTCGTTCTTAGAGGTGTGCGCCGACTGGTCGGCGCGCCGCCGCCAATAGTTCTCGCCGCGCCGCCGCCGCCGACGCGAACTGATCGGCGCGCCGCCGCCGCCGCCGCCGACGTTTTTCATCGGCGCAATCGGCGCGCCATTTATGCGCCAGTACTGACTTTTCACAGATTTGTCTTCTTTTTCATCTTGATTTATAGTTTCGTTTCACATTTTATGTAGCCAGTAAAAACCAGGCTTCTTAGTTATCTTCATCCAGCTTCAGAGACCGAGAGTACCACTATGAACAGCGGAACGAGTTCGGCGGCCGCTGCATGAAATGACATATTGAACAAATTGACAAAAAATAAATGTAACAGTTACAGTAAAGCATAGACACTGCCATCTTAGGTTTAGAAGCAATTTATCTGTTTTTTTTGTGTCGTAATTAGCTATGATTATGGTGTTACGACGTTGAATGTAATGGCCCAGCGTTTTGATGCGTGCGAGTTCGCCATAGCACAATTCGAATATTCATACGGATGGAAAACGGCATCATTATCAGTCCAAGATGGCAGCCTATAATTGTGCCCGAAACAGGGCGTACATAAAGAAGAAATGAAGTGGTAGCAGTGCAGCACGAATGCAGCGCGTTAGATGTAGGGAGGAGGAGGAATAAATGAGGAAGGACATGGAGGTTAGGTGTTAGATGAAGAACTACACAAAACCTCGAAGGATGAAATAAAAATAGAGAAGTTTAATGAAGATTAAAAGCATCGAGGCATATTACATGCTCGAACCTACTCAGGGTATATCAGCACCTGTCCGCGGTGTTAAAGTTGATAATTTTCGAGGATGACCACTTATATTCAGCGTCTGAACATGCTGCATAAAATATTCACCATCTGTTTTATTTTTTAACTTGTCTGTTTGTACCGGCCTTTTAAGACATTGGATACCCGGGATGAAGATGCCAAGGCAGTAAGATAACAAGAGAGAGAAAGGAAGGCTGGGGGATTAACCATATCTTGGCATCCGGTTTGCTGCCTAGCACTGAGGGTTGAGAAATAGGGGCAAAAAAGGGCGTGTAGAGAGACAGAAAAGAAAACGCATGAGCACTCAGGAGTAAGATGGCAACCTTAACAGAGTATTTATTACATTCTGTACAGACAGGGCGAGAGGTCTCTTGCGAATGAGCTGGGTGGCTCACTATAAAGTGTACGTTTTGACTTAATCAGGGAATGGGATCCAGAATGCGCTGTTGAATCACGAGACACACACACCATTTCTGACGGTGCCGCTCACACTCGCGCAAGTCAAGGTCCTTGATTGGGGCGTGGCCACCACACTGCACCTGTGACACCAAGAAACCATTGTGGTCGTCTCGTCGAACGTCTTATGGTGTCGGAAAGCCACCTCACTTCCCGGCTAAGATGGACAGTACACGGCGGACAGCAGGCTGGCAGCCCTTCGGTGACTTGTTTGATGAACAAAGAACGCGGCCCTCCCCCGTCGGCCCAGGCACCGCGCGTAACAACGGCTATCCAGTGGTGAGAAGAGGCGTAATGAGCTTGTGTGAGACCACCAGTTTTAAAAAGAACGAAACAAAATTTTAAAAAACTTGCCAGTAGACAATTTACAAAAGACGGCTGGATTCATCAAAAATGCAGAGACCGACATTTGAGCGACATGTCATATATGACATAGTTCAGCAAACTGGTTTTCATCCCGTAACTTGAACGGACCTACCGGTACTGGGAGAGGTTAAGAATGATTGTCGCTGACAGATGTACTTCTGTTGCGAAGGTAATGCTGAGAGTCAACCAAATAAAACTTAGCATTATATTCAAGTCTTGATAAAAAAATAAGTCAAGTTAGAAAGCTCCTCAGGTGGCCAAATAATAAATTACTTCACCATACTTTATGAAGAAGTAGTTTGCAAATAAATAATGCCATTCAATGACATTCAATGACGTGACCGCAATCAACGGTGTGTCGTCGCTATAAAACGGGAAAGTTATATGTGGACACGATCGGGCGAATGCGGCGGAGAACGAATATGTCACGTAATAAAAGCGATGTGATGTTGCACATTTTCATCTTTACAACTCCGTGCCCTTTTGCTTGCTCGTGATGTGTTCGAAGGAGCTAGCCAAGTCTCAGGTAGAAGTCAAGCAGAGTAGCCGGGGCTGATAAGAGCAACGTTCATGTTCACTATTTACACACTAAAGGTAGCATCATGGAAGCTTGATGAGAGCTTCTGAGAGCTGGTTCAGAGCGTCTCGGTGCTCGCGTTTTAAGCCGTGGTCTTCCTAAAATTCTCTGCAGGAGAAAACAATAGACAGTTTGCAATAATCTGCAAGGCAGCTTTTTTGTAAGGTTAGTTTTCCAATCATAAACTCTCGTTCACAGACTGCTTTTCTCGCTCATTTTGTTTTTGCCATTCACCTTTTTGAGATCTTGTGCTCGCGTGCCTTTGCTGGAATTTGGAGAGGTGACATTTTGTTGTACTCGCGTGCTCGCGTGCATTCGCTGGAATTCGAAAAGGTAAAGGCACAATGAGGGAGAAAAGCAGTCTGTGAACGAGAGTTTTTGGTTAAAAAATAAACCTTATAGGAAAGCCGCCTTGCATATCACTGTAAACGGACAGACTGCATGTCCATTCAGTCCAGGGCAGTCCAAAGAAATTGCCGTCTTCATCTCCGTCCCCCAAATGGTGGGGGTAGTGGTTAGAAGAAGGCGCCTAATTTCTGCAGCCCAGCAGGGAGCACGGCGCAGCGAATAAAGATAAAAAAAAAACGAGAAGGAAAAAGAGAGAGAAAGTCAAACACTGCCTTCTTTTCTACCCAGGAAATAGAAAGGATGCACGTTCAGTTCGTCACACGGTGAGAGAGAAACACAACGTAGGTCATAATACAATAATAGGCACAACACAGCACAATGCGATAACGTTGCATCGCACGTGCAGAATAGGGCCTGCAGCGCTAGGCAGGCTAGGGCGTGGGGGAGTGAAAGACTTGAAAGCACCACAGAGTGTGGGAAACATACCTGACGACGAATCCCAACCTCTCGGCTAATTATTCAGCGTGTCTCGTGGCACGTCGAACAAATCAAGCTGCCTCGATTTCCGACAGCTCTTCTTAGGCCGTCAGTCAGTCAGGCGTGTCCAAAGAGTTTTTGACGAGGGGAGCCAACAGCCCTAAAGAATTCGAAGTATGACTTTCGTGTTGTCGCCTCTTTTGGCGCACCTCGAGAGCGTTGACCCGGAACAAATCAGGGTAGGTGAGGTGACTTTCCGCGAACCTTACCTGCTTTCCAAACCAGTTACTGCATGCAAGCTTCCCCTGAATGGATGAATCTGTGGTTGAAGAAAAAGAAAAAGACACTATCTTTCCTTGCGAGACCACGGCTCAGTCCCTTGAAGGGAAAGGGGAGAGTGGAGAAAATAGTTTAGAAGTAGGTAGGAGGAGAAGGTTTGGAAGAACGTGACGGTCATGGCTGCTAGAGCAGAAAGAGAATAGGGGCCGTCGGCAGGGCACTCCGAGTCGTACAGCTTGGAAATGTGGAGTTACAACCATGTACGCAGATACCTATGGTCATTCCCACGAGAGAAAAAAAATCTGGATCACCTTTCTTGGGCTAGAATACAGAAAACTAGCTAAACGAGAAAACTAAAATAAGTAAAGAAATAACCGATAATCTAACCACCACTTGTCACCACAGCTGCGGAAGGAAAGAAGCAAAAACGTAATCCGCGACCTCGGCACCAGCGGCTACACAGAGGCATTTCTTCGTAGAACACTGTGTATAAGAAAAGACACGGGAAACACGACACCAATGGCGCCGCAATGACGCCACGTGTCGACCAAACTTGAGCTCACGGAACAGGGAACGAAGCACAATGGCAGAACACTGCGAGACCACTCGCAACATATTTGCGTCATGCATACCAGTCCCGACGGCATGGTGTACAGCTCGATGGGTTGTATTGTAGTCTTTCTGAATTCCTTGAAGTGCACAAAGAGCGCGAAAGGTTGGGTACAAGGAACTTCAACATAGAAAACGACTTTGCCATCAAGCCTTTTGCAGTGTGTACTGGACGAACGCAGCGACGGGTGACGAACGACAGGAATTCAGTTCTTATGCGCTTCAGAAATGACTATGAATGGAAAAGTTTTTGAATGGGAATAAAAAAAAATCATCAAAAACATGGGTGTTGCTATGTCGGTGCAACAGAACTGCAAGCCTGTTGGAAAAAGATGGCAGCAATATCTCATAAAGAGACTGGAGAATTAAAAGCCTCTCTGATTGCCGAGAAGTAACAGAATTCTTCAATCACGTTACAGCTTGAATACATTGATTTCCACGAGTGATGAAGGATCACGTATGGCATGAACGGTGCGTTTCTGCCTCCTTCCTTCTTGAAATATGGCCGCGACAATTTTCATGGTAACCTAAATTACGCAGCCACTGTTTAATTGGTAGCAAATGACATGACAAAACCTATGATCTGTGTCATCGCTACATTTTAACAAAACTTGAAATCGTGC